GCCATCGCAGAAGCAGAACGCGAAGCACCGCTTGAGGAAGGCATGTCCAACTTGGAGTTGGAAATCGCGACGCGCGGCGTCTTCGGAACAAGGGAACATCCTCTTCGCGGACCAGCATCACAGCATCTTCAGGGGATGCTGCGCGGCACTGGCGTCGGCACTTTCGATGCGCACGGCAATCTGCGACCCTACACCGAGGAGAAATTTCTGGAGATTTACTCCCACAGGCGCGATTCCGCGAAGAAGCTCACCGTGGCGCAAGAAGAGGAGCTGGCGCAATGCGAAGCGGAAGAGCTTCGCCGACGCAGTCTCGCCGAGTCGCGCGGAACATTCGCCTGGAGCGGATGGGAAGAAGAGGAAAGCGCCTCCAATGAAGGGGGGTGGGGAAGCGCTGGCGGATGGGGCACAAGTGAAACTGGCGGATGGGGAGCTGCAACTGGCGGAGACACTGGCGGATGGGGCGCCGCATCTGGCGGCGAGACAAGCGGCTGGGGCGCCTCTAGCGAAGGCTGGGGAGCTTCCCGCGAGGAACAAAGGGGGGGAGAAGAAGAAGCGGAACCTTCTATTTTTCCTCTTGGTCGCCCTCCGCGCCGCCTTACTCCTGCACTTCCTCCACCTGACATCCAGTCGCAGCGCGACCCTTGGGACACCATCGACTGGGGCAATGAGCCCTCTACCCCGCGGTGCACTGTTTTCGGGCCTGCCCCCGAGCCGCGTGAACCAACCTTTGTCCCTAGAACCATCCCTGGGACCAACATCTCCTACTCTGTCATTCGCGACAGAGAATTTCTTGCGCTGATGTTGACCACGGGAAATGGCGACGAGGAAGAAGAAGAAGCAGCAGACGTAGCAGCTGCAACAGCCGCACCAGTAACAGAGGAAGACCCTGAAGCAGTCCGCGCACGCTACATGCGCACCTCTGGATTCCGCGCTGACGATGCCATCTGGCACCAGCGCCTCGGTCACCCCTCGCGTGTGACGCTGAAAAACTGTATCGAAGCTGGCGTATTCGCACCCGGCGCACTCCTGCGCCCTAATGGCACCGAAGTAAGGGGCGCAATATATCCGCGCAACTGCACCGTCTGCCCCGAAGCTGCGCTAAGCCACCAGCCGTTCCCCCTGCTTGAGCCCGGAACCAACCGCTACGCCAAACTGGAGAAAGTCTATAGTGACTTCCTTAATGTGGGCCACTGCGGAATCAACGACGAGCTGTACACGCTCACCTTCGTCGACGCAGGAACGCGATACGTATGGGTCATGAATGTGGAGGCGCGCAGCAGAGCGTACGAAGTGTTCCGCATCTGGCTGGCGCACGCGGAGCGGCAATCTGGGGAGAAAGTGAAGATCTGGCAATCCGACGGCGCAGCAGAGTTCAGAAGCAAGGAGCTGCAAGACTACCTGGCGCATAAGGGAATCGAGCATCATATTTCCCTTCCCTACGCGCACCAGCAGCAAGGCGTAGCCGAGCGCACGAATCGCACGCTCATGACGAAGGTGCGCGCGCTAATGAAGCAATCAAAGCTTCCGCCAATCTACTGGACCTACGCAATGCATCACGCCGTGCGGGTGCACAACCTGCTGTCAACCACAGCCATCACCGGCAACTCGTCGCCGCATGTAAAATGGACGGGGACCAAGGGCGACACATCTATGCTCCGCGTGTGGGGGTGCATGGTGCAGTACCGCCCGCCAACATCAACTATCGGGAAATTCAAGAGCCGCGAGCGTTGGGGAATTCACCTCGGTATCAGCACGAGTACAAGGCGTGGCTCATTCTGGACCTCACAAGCCAGAAGATCAAGAATGCGCACGATGTCATCTTCTACGAGCGGCTCTTCCTCCAGCAATTCCGCGAGGATGAGCAGGCAAACGCGAACCGCGTTTACACCAACGACGGGCACAGCTACGCCACACCAGAGGACGAAGCTGCAGCAGCCATTCTGGAGCAGGACACCAGAGGCGAATTCACGAGAGGCGATCGCCGTGACAACGACGACGACGACGATGTTTTGTCTGAAGGAGGAGCGGGCGGAGCAGGAGGAAGCGGAAGCGGCGGAGGCGCAGCACCACCAGCACCACCTGAACCAGAGAGCGACGACGATGACGTGCAGGAGGTCATCCCGCAGCATCGCCACGACAACACCGTCACTGGACTTCAGCTTATCGGCCTTCACACCGCTACCTCAACGGCGCCGTGCATCATCGAGCCGAAGAACCCGCGCCGAGCTCTTACGGGACCTCACAGCAAGGAGTGGCGCGAGGCGATGGATGCGGAAATCAAGGCACTCGAGTCGCGCGACACTTGGGTACTCGTCGATCGAGCGGCAATCAAGGGAAGGAGAATCCCTTCCGGGAAATGGGTCTTCCGTGTGAAGACCGCAGCAGACGGCACGATCGAGCGATTCAAGGCGCGCTGGGTCGTGCGCGGTTACGATCAGAGGCACGGCATCGACTTCGACCAGACATTTGCACCGGTCAGCCGTCACACCTCCGTCGGAATTCTCCTCGCCATCGCTGCCGCACGACACCTGCCACTCCGACAAATCGATGTGAAGAACGCGTTCCTGTACGCGTTAGTAAATGCAGTAATCTACGTGGAGCCGCACACATACGGCGAAGGAGATTCGCGCGTTTGCCAGCTGCGAAAATCCCTTAATGGGATCAAACAGGCGCTGAGGCTCTGGCAGCAGTACCTGCACAAAATCCTGCTTGAAATTGGGTTCAAGCAGCTGCCTCATGATCCAGGGATGTATCGCCGCGATTTCTGCGACGTATACATCCTGCTCACGGTCTACGTCGACGACCTCCTCTACACAGGATCAAGCAATGGGTTGTTTGAGCAGTTCGATAAGAACCTCGCGGGGCGCGTCGACATCACTTGCAACCACGACGTGAAGCAGTTCCTCGACCTCAACATCACTTATTCCCCATAAGCTATCCATCTCTCAGCAGCCAAGTATGCAGAAGAACTTGGCAGGCGCTTCAACATTGCACCTGCACCACTCTCCACCCCTTACCGCACTCCAGGAACCAACCACAAGCCTGACAACAAAGCCCTGTCCCCTGATGGGCTTCAGACTTACCAGCAACAGCTGGGATGCCTGCTCTTTGCCTCTGTTACCTGCAGGCCAGATCTCTCGTACATCGCGAGCCAGCTGGCTCAGTACTCTCGCAAACCAACGGCTGAGAACCTTCTAGACCTTCAGCGGGCACTGCAATTCTCCATTTCTACGCCCACTGTTGGGCTCTGCTACTCCACCATCCCAGCCGCGTCCTTCAATCTCATCGGCTACGTGGACGCTGACCATGCCGCTGACCCCGACAATCGACGGTCCAGGACCGGCTTCCTCTTTCGGCTCGAGCCCAGTGGCCCCATCTCCTGGAATTCACAGAAGCAGGAGCTGGTTGCCCTGTCATCGGCAGAAGCCGAGTTCATCGCAGCAACAACAGCTGTTCGCGAGGGCTCTACCTTCAGGAGCTGTTGCAGGAGGCGAAAATTCCTGCTTCGGCGAACTTCCGTCTGCACTGCGACAACCAGAGCGCGATCAGGATCGCGAACAAACCTGGTATCGTCAACCGCACCAAGCACATCGCGCTGCGGTACTTCTTCGTCAAGGACGAAGTTGACAAGGGCATTGTTGACCTATTGCCCGACGGGTGACATGGCGGCAGATTTCCTCACGAAGAAATTGCCACGTCAGCAGTACCAACACTGCTCCGAACTCAGCGGAGTAGTCAAGCGGGTCAAGACCTGCTACGGCCAGGAGTGAAGGGGGGTGTTACGAATAGTGAAAGATGAAAGAATTACTATGCACTCCTTACCGCAGCAGTCGAAGCACGCACTACCGAGTCTGAAGACGAAAGGGCGGAAGTAACACGAAGGGTCATACGGTTACGAAAGGATCTGGACTGTCGGGCAGACAGCATCAGGCAGCAGCAGAGGCGAGGATTCTGCCCGAACAGTTTCGTAACCGTCTGGAGTCGCACGGTTGGATTTCGCTATAATAAGTGAATGTACCCCTTAGAGTACATGGCTAGCTAGGTCGTTTCATAACCCCCTGTAATCTTATTTATATTCCTTGTATTTGCATGTTTTAATCATCTCAAGCATTTTACATCCACTCTGCTATTGAGGTCCAGGGCCCACCACCACTACTCATACTTGTGCGAACCTTCCTGAGGTGATCCTAGGGACGATCAACTCCTTATCGCAGCAGATCAACCTTAAAAAGGGGGACCTTCCTGTTATTTAGGGTTGATGCCTCCCGAGTCGCATCCGTTTCCGAATGGGTAATTTTTTATTTTCCTGTGCGTTTCCGATCGGGTGGGTGATATGTATCACCCAGAATATATTATGTTGTTACTTACTCACGATTTGACACGCCGAATTTTTATTCCAGAAGAAGGCGACGCGCGCGCTGTAGTAGACGGCGGTCAAAACCCTAAATAAAGAAAATGAACACAAAATTCGGTTCGTTTTAGCAATTTTCGTTTACTCATGGTTCGGCTTGTTTGCCGAGTCGTTTGGTCAGCTCCGGGTTGAAAACCTACGGTCACGATTTACCGGCCCTACTTTGATCACCCCTCTGGCACTGTTCGGCCCCAATATGATATTTTCCCGTTGTGGGTGGACTTGCGGGCCCGTCAAAGTGAGACACGTCCTTAGGTCGTTGGTTCGGCGAACGCCGTGGTCTACACGCCAGTGGTTATCCGCCTGGATCCTTTCCCTTCTTCCGCCCAGTCTTATCCACAGCTCACACCATTGATCATCGTGCCATTGCTAATAGTTCTTCCTCGTGTCTGCTCGTACGAATACATTACGGTGTCTGAGGCTCATCGACTATCCTGCAGTCCTCTGTCTGATGCGTTAATTTCGAGCTTCAACGTAGATTATACGCAGTGATCAGTCTACCACCTTGACCATCATGGAGCCACCCACGCACATCCATGACCTTCCTGACGACATTCTTACTAAGATCTTCTGGCATTTCGAGCAGCCTATGATTAGGAAAGCGGACAGCGACTGTTTGTGGGACTCCCACTGCTCGAGTCTCACCCCGAAGTACCTCTCTGCAAACCTTTCATTCGAAAAGGCCATTCGTGAAGAGAAGACTCCGTTACCCATTCCTCCTCCCTCTGCGGATGCGCACCGTATTCTTCTTTTCGCGGCCGTCTGCCGTCGCTGGCGCGGTCTCACTCAGCGTTGCGTCTCCGCGCTTCTCGTCCGAGACAATCTCGTCGTGTCTCGCCAGGCTCTCGCGAGTGCTGTCGCTGCCTTACCGAACCTGACCCATCTTCACCTGTGCGACGGCAGCGTCGAGACTCTCGACGACGCCTTTCTCGCTCACCTCGCGTCGTCATGTCCCAACCTCGCCATCCTCCACGTCGGAAGCGGAATTGCGCCTGTGAAGTGTAAAGATTTTTATGCCGGTAAATGTGAGAAGGACGCGCAACCTATAACAACCGCTGGCCTGGATTTCTTTTTCCGGCACTGCACTCGGCTAGAGCAGCTTTCACTTTACTGCCTCGACCGTTGCGTCGAATTCCCCGCTTCCTTCTTTCAGCTGCCGCATCTGCACACTCTCGCGCTCACAAATGCTTCACCGCTCGAAACTCCCGATTTCGCTAGCCTTACATCGCTCACCACCTTGCACATTGCCTCCAACCATCTCTTGGATCGAGTGGCAAACATCGTTCGCCTCTCACGCATCACCACCTTCTCACACTCCGAAGAAGCCGTTGCATTTCACCGTGATTCCCTGGGCCTTGCCGACTTGGACACCACGCAGCTGGCTCTGCTCAAGTCGTCAAAGTTCAGCGAGGTGGTCCCGTGTGCCGCCCTAGAGCGGCTCGAGATTGATATAGAGCATTCTGATTCCGATACGCCGACCTTTCAACTCGGAGAGCTGATGCCGAGGCTCCGCAAGCTGACCCTTCGCCAGAGACTCGGGCATTATGAACCTAGTCCAATTCTGCTGAGCTTCGCTTCTCTAACTCTCTTGGAGAGCTTGACCCTTACTGAGCGTTACCAAAGGCACGACGATTTTGCTTCTTACGACCTGCCGGACGATATGGGATGCCTGCTTGCTCTGAAGACCCTCGTGCTGCACAGGCTGCCACTCTTGTCCCTCCCGGGCGCCCTCTGCCACCTGCCTTCCCTTGAGACGATCGTCCTCATCGAATGCACCACCTACCCGCACTTCAAGCTGTACGAAGATTTCTGCTGCCTCACGTCACTCCAAACCCTCGCCATTGTGAAGATGCCTTGGACGAGGCTGCCGGAGAACATTGGAGAGCTCTCAAGGCTGCACACACTCTATTTGAACGGTCAGAACCAGCAGCCGCGACTGCCGTTATCCTTCACCCAGTTGACTTCATTGACCAGGCTTGAACTGGCCATGTGCACGATTCAAGAGCTGCCCGAGGACTTGGGGAACCTCACTAACCTGCAGGAGTTGCACATTCGCTCCTGCCCTCGGATTCAGCGGCTTCCAGAGTCCCTCACAAGCATCTCGAGCCTTGAAACCCTTACGGTTGATGACTGTCTGAAGCTCGTCTCGGTTCCCGGGAGGCTGGACAGCCTTGGGAGGCTCAAATGGCTGGAGCTGACTGGGTGCCCCGATCATACTGAGCCTCCTACATGCCTGCCGCTCTCTCTTGAGGTCTTAAGTCTTGGAAACAGCTACCACATGGCTGATCTGCCAGACGTCTCCTTGCTGCCTTGGCTGAGAAAGCTCTCCTTGAAGCTGGTTGGTGGGGCGGAGAGAATGGCTGTTAGCAGCAGCTTGGCGCGCGTGAAGCAGCTGGAGCTGGCGCTGCAGGAGGAGGCTGTGGAGCTGCCCTTCTCCCTTGCGCTGCTCCCCCAGCTGCACACGCTGGTCATGTGGAACGCGGGGAAGATGCAGCGGCTTCCAAGCGACATGGGATGGGCTGTGCCGCAGCTGAGGGTTCTGCAGATCCACTGTGCGCGGGAATTGAGGGAGCTGCCGGACAGCATTGGCGCTGCATCCCGCCTGCGCCAGCTGCACCTCTTTGACTGCCCCGCTCTGCACCACCTGCCCGCTTCCCTCACGCAGCTTGCATGCCTGCACCAACTGCATGTGGAAAAGACAGGCCTGCGCTGCCTTCCTTTAGGGTTTGCACAACTGACCAGGCTGCGCAGTCTTAGTGTGCGTGGTTGTGCGCGGCTGGAGGCTCTGCCAGAGGATCTCACGGAGCTGAAGATGCTGCGATTATTGAGTGTTGGAAATTGCAACAAGCGTGTGTGCCCTCGGTGGAACAAAGTTCTGGAACCTCGTGGGCTCCAAGATATGTATGGATTGAAAATAGACCGTAATTAGTGGCAGGATTGCATGGCTTGGCTGTTTCGTTGGTGGCTAGGAGGAGGTTATGCTCGTAAATTTGGTGCTGTTGGGGCTGAGATGAAGAAGCACTTAGGAACATTCTAAGGAACTTTCTAAGAAGCTGTGAAACAGCATGTCTTGAATTCCATTACAGGCAGTGATTCCGTACCTTCAAGGTAGGGGATAATATGTAAATTGCACCGAGGAAAGAAAAGGCCCTCGTTTCAATCCAGGTCCAGGCGAGGGTCATATTTTAAAATCGTGGACACGATAGCGTACGGAAGTTTTGAAAAAAACAAATGAGAGCCTGCATTAGCTATTGAACAGCTCTGTACTTGCTATTTCTACAGTAATTACTGTTCATTTTAACATCAACAATACCGTACAAATCACGACCTGTACATTTTAAAACAAGGTAAACAAACACAGGCACGGCACGTTCTACCCTATTACTCACAAAGGCTGTCCAGTGCTCAGCGCTCCCTCCACCTTGTAGCAGAACGACCTGTCCACTATGGAAGAAATGGATTCCTGGACTTGCTGTCCTTGGTGGCTTTCTTGTACGAGCTGTGCGCACATTCCAAGGAAGAAAGACAGGAACGTGACCTTTCATTAGCATGGCATCGACACCGCCTACATGGAAACGGCTCAGCAAGGAAATCACGATGGCACCTTCTGTGTGCAGTGCGAGCGATGGGACAACGGGGGCGCAAGCAACATGAGGCGGTGCGAGTGGAGCTTAGCTTACTATACAAGGCAGGATGTGCCGAGTGAGACGGTGCCGAGCACGAGGAGCACAAATGGCAGCGCTACAAGCCCATGGTGAGACATGCTGCCCCGGGGCACCGCACTGCCGTGAAGCACACCGCTTCCCGCCACCCCTGCCATTCCTGCTGCTCTAGCCGTGCTAGCCGTTGCGTGAGCAGAAGAAGGAGAGGAAGGAGAGGAGCGTCTTCTCATCGGGTGATATCTGGCTGGACCTGCAAACACGGAGGTGAGTGGGGGGACAACGGAAGTAGGGTTATTGTTACAACGTGTCAAAAGCGAGAAGCGGCTAAGAGCGGATGTAGTCATAAAAAATATACATAGGAGGAGAAGCCACGAGGGGACAAGTGAGGAGAGAAAACAGGTGGCATGCGGTGTCATTCTATCAAGAGCATGGAACTCACGAGTGGCCAACAAGTGGTATGCCTCGAGGATCTGCACCCATAGGGACACACACAGTGATGCACATGATTGCATGGCCAGACACACGCGCGCACGCACGCGCACACATACGGGAGAAAGACAAGGGCATGCAATGACCATTCTGGACCTATACAAGACATGCAACATGCAAGTAGGTATTCAGTAAGAATCAGAGGAGGAGAGGAACGAAGAAGCTGGCAACCTACCTCACCTCAACCTTCCCTTCGCCTTCCTCCACTTCATCCTCCCCCGTTGTATTACAACCATCTCCTTCGCTCCCTCGCCCACCCGCCCTCCCACCCATTCCCCCTCCCCATCCCCCCTGCCCCTCTTCCCATTTCCTGGCGCACCTTTTTGAACTCGGTCTCGGCCTGGTCTCGCATGCCGGGAGGCACCACGTCTGGGTGCGTGCGCTTGGCCACGCGGTGGAAGGCGGCCCGCACCTGTGGGCCGGGACGGACGGCGCACGGGGATTCGGGACGCGTGGGGGGGAGGGCGCAGGACGAGGCGAGGGGGAGCGGACAGGAGGATGCACCAAAGGTGGGGGAAAGTAGTCGGATAAAGGCGGACCGCACCTGCGGGCGGAGGGAAGGGGGGAGCGGCGCGGGCGGGCGGGAGGGAGATGCGAGCGCGGTGGCGAAAGCGGATGGGGCGGGCGGGCGCCCAGGCACAGCTGTAGAGAGGCGTGCAGGACGACGCACTTGGACGAGCGCGGAGGGCGAGGTGACGAGGAGCGACGCAGCGTGGACAGCGAATGGGGAGGCAGGACTGGTTCCGCGTGTGGCGGCGAGGCGGGCATAGGTGCACGAGTGGAGGCCAGGCGAGTTTTCTCGAAGGGGTAAAGGGCGAGTACCAGCGAGGGCGACAGTCTCGTCGCGAGGGCGAGTACTAGGCATACCGGCGCGGCTGGTAGGGGTCGTGCGTGGAGCAGCAGGCCTGAGGGGAAGGGTGATATGAGCCTCGTGGCAGCGGAAAGGATTTGAGTGGCGGCGACGTGCGCTCACTCACCTCGTCCCGGCTGTGCGCGCCGTGCGTGAGCCCCAGCGACCGCAGCGCGTCACCGTACCGCATGGCGCGCAGCACGCACACGCGCACGCGCACGCGCACGCACGGCGCGGCGCAGGACGCTACGTGAGAATATAAGCCTCACGGACCATGCAGAAAGAAGGACCGAATCCGAGTGCGGAGCAGAGTTCGCTTCGTATGAACAGTTTGACGCATGTCATGGAAAGAGAGTCCTAACTTGCTACAGTACTCTACTGCGAGCAGAGCTCGCTTTCTACCAATGCTACCTCGCTACTGTTTGTTGCACCATCCGTTGTCTCATCTCCAATCTCCAGTTCTGGAAGAAAAGAGGCGGAATGAATCACATCACACCTATTTCTCGATTGAATAACTTCTTTACTTCTGGTGTGGAAGTTGTCATGGCTAACGAGAAACGGTTACCAGATTTCGCGAATCTGTAAAGTGAATTTCGTGGCGAAGTGCAGGTTTGAGGTTCAACACTGTGCATACAGACCAGAGTCGCTTCGACGCATTACCATATAACCCATCTGAACGGCTTTGATTCCAGCAAGCAACTCTGATGGCGGTGTTGTGAAAGAGACACTACTAGGTTCGCGTTTCGCCCGATGCCGTGCAGCAACGGCTCGCTTCCTCAGGAGGTTGGCCAGCGGGAAACACGCATCGCGGTGCGCACGCCGCGTGTAGAATGGCGGGGAGACAGCGCGGGAAAGTGGTGGCGAGACGACGAGAGCAGTGCCAGATGACGTTGACTGCGTTGACTGTCGAAGGCGGATGCACGGCGGCTCGCTGCGTGTCGTCGCGGGTTCGCCACCGCCGCGCATTGCTGCGCGCGCTTCTCCCCCTGCTCGCGCTGCTGCTTGCGCCCCCTCGCCTCGTATCGCTGCGCCAATTCGGCGCGCTGGGTGCGGCGACGAGCCCGCAAGTGGCGGAAGATGCAAGGCGATTGTACGAGGCAAGCCCGCAGCCCGCATGACGCGCGCGCACATCCCTTTCTCATGTGTTCCCCGCTTCGGCTATTACAAGAGCAGCCAGCACCGCTCGCCATGGTAGCACAGCCGTAGATCCTTCCCATCCCGCCGCGCGTAGACCCTTTCCCTTTTTTTTTCCGTTCCCCTTTCCCCACTCCCCCGCCTTCCCCACTCCTCCGCCTTACCAACTCCCCCGCCTTCCCCACTCCTCCGCCTTACCCACTCCCCCGCCTTCCCCACTCCTCCGCCTTACCCACTCCCCCGCCTTCCCCACTCCTCCGCCTTACCCACTCCCCCGCCTTCCCCACTCCTCCGCCTTACCCACTCCCCCGCCTTCCCCACTCCTCCGCCTTACCCACTCCCCCGCCTTCCCCCCATCCCCCCTCATCCCCCCATCCCCCCGCAGGCATGGCAGGAGGCGTACGGCCTGACTCCTGACGCCATAAGCCCGCCGGCACAGGTGGTGCTGCCGCCCTCCGTGTCGGCCGCGCCCCACCTGCAGGACTGCAGCGCGCGCACGGCGGCGCGGGAAGCGGCGGAGAGCAGGGGGCGAAGGGGGGAGGAGCCGCAGTGGGCGAGAGGGGGCGAGTGCTGCGAGTGTGGCCCGCAGCCCCCGTGGGTGAGTTGCAGGCGGGCAGGCGGGCAGACGGGGGGCAAGCGGGTGGAGGGGATGGAGGGAATGGGAGGGATGTATGAGAGCACAGGGCAAGGGGCAGCGAGCGATGGCATGGCCATGCTGTCACGCTGCAAACCTGACACTGCTCCCAAACCCTCTCTTGCCTCTTCGCTCCCCTCCCTCTCTCCCGCCTCTCACCCCTCCCCAACCCCGCACTTTCTTCCCCCGCTCTCCACTCCCCACCCTCCCACTTTTTTCCCCAACCCCACCCCCACCCCTCCCCCCTCCATTGCCAGGTGACAGGCTCAGATGCAGCGAACCTAGCACTGACGCGCGTGGCGCAGCGGGACCTGTGGCGCTCGCAGTTCCCAGCCACGTGTGAGGGGCGGCGCCTGCTGGTGGTGGAGTGGGCGTGTCCGTACCACGGCACGGGGTCCATGGTGCACGTGCTCAGTGCGCACATGAGCATGGCCCTGCGCTCCAACCGCACGCTTGTGGTTAGGGACAAGTCGTTTCACCGCGCGAATAACGAGGCGTGCAAGGGTGAGGCGAGGAGGTTGTGGTGGTGAGGAAAGGAAGGAAGGGGAAGGGGGGGAAGAGGGGGGGGGGTGGGTTGGTGAAGGGCATGCGATGCGATTGCGTGATGCACAGCAGTTGCTGTGCATCTGGCTTGCCCTCCTTCAGTCGTGGCTGCTTGCTCGCGTGGTTTCACCTTCACGTGCATGGGTGGTTCCATATCAGCCACAGGCACTGGTGCCGTGTCCTCTCATGAGCCCATGTCCCCCTCTCCTCACTCAAACAGCCCAACTTCCGATCCCGCATCCCGCCCTCCTCCCTACCCATCCCATGGCCTGGTAGCTAGCCCTGGGGCAGGAGGGCGAGTGGGAGTGCTACTTCTTCCCCATCGCCTCACCGGACTGTCGCCGCATCGCCATGGCAGCACTAGAGGCGCCCTCACCCTCACCAGCTGTGCCGTGGCTGTCGTCCATGGCGCCTGACTGGGAGGCGCTGCTGCTGTCCGACACACCTGTGCTGGCGTGCAACGACACCGGCTTCCATGCCGATGTGCTCGCTAATAAGTGCGATGCTACCCTTGCTGCTGCCAGCCAGTGCTGCTACTGCCTCTTGTGGTTGGTTGGCAGCTTATGTGTCGATGCATTCCACTTTCCTGCTTTTGCTTATGTCCGACACACCTGTGCTGGCGTGCAATGACACCGGCTTCCATGCCGACGTGCTCGCTAATAAGTGCGATGGTGCCCTCACCATTGCTGCTGCTGCTTCTTCTGCTGTTGTTGTTGCTTCCGCTTCCGCTTTTGTTTTTTCTGCTGGTTATGGATATATATCTGATGCATCTGCTTACTTTACTTCCAATCACCATCTAACATGCAACATGAGTTATGTCACTCAGGATGCATCCTCACTTCCCACCCCGCCTTCCTCCTTTCCCTTCCTTCCCATCCTCCCATCTGCCCCTCCCGTCCTCATCACCCATGAGAGCAGGTTGTGGGGTCCGCCAGCGTTTGAGCGGCCAGTGACGTTAGAGGAGGTCAACCACACACAAGTGCCAGACAACGACAGAAACGTATGCTGCACAGCCTTGCTCCCCTGCCATCTCCCCCATATGCACTACACATGCACTTCCATTGCTTCGCCCTTTCCAAATCTGGCACGCACTGCTGTGGCTTCACAGGCGGCCTTTCCATAGCTCAGGCTGCTACAACCCCCCTTCATCCTCGCACCACCAGAGCCGCCTCCCTTCATCCTCGCACAAGTTCTCTCCCTCCCAATTCCCCCTCTCCCATCCCCGCCCTCCCCACCCCCCGTCCTCAGTGGGACCTGTTGTTTCTGCAGGAATTCCGGTGGTGGCGGGCGCAGGTGACGCGCTTCCTCTTCCGCTGGCCCTCGGCACACCTCTGCCACTTCATCAACCGCGCGCGCCACGACGCATACGGCCTCTCCGTGGCCCAGCAACTCGCAGCAGCCACCGCCCAGCAGAGCACCATCCTTCTTGCCTCCCCCCCTGGCAGTGGAGGGAGTGGTGGTGCTGTGGGGGAGGGGGTGAGTGAGGGCGAGCGGCAGTATTTGGCATCGGTGGGCTCGGAAGCAGCGGGGGGAGGGGGCTTGGCGCAGGCGTGCTGGCCCATGGCTGGCTTTGCTGCTTGCACCACATGTGGTATCGCCAGCAGTACCACCAGCAACAGCACCTGCAATGGCACCAGCAGCAGTAGAAGCGGCAGCAATGCTGGTGGCGATGGTAGTGGCAGTGGTAGTACCGGTGATACTGGTGGGGATGAATGGGGGGCCAAGTTGCACAGCGCAGTACACGGGGAGCCGTTCATACCCCGTCCCTACCTGAGTGTGCATGTGCGGCTGAGCGACAAGGGCTCTGAGATGGCGCTGCGCTTCTTCCCCTCCTTCCTCTTCTTCGCCTACAAGATCCGCGCCCACGTGCCCAACCTGCAGCATGTCTGGCTCTCCACTGAGATGCAGGTGCGGGGTGCGCGAGGTGCAGGTGAGGGGAAGGTGAGGGGAAGGTGAGGTGCAGGTGAGGGGCGGGTGAGGGGCGGGTGAGGGGAAGGTGAGGGGGGGCTGAGGGGGGGGTTGAGGGGAAGGTGAGGCAATGGTGTTCTACTCATTGGTGGAGCATGGATGTTCGTCTCCCTGTGTTGGCGGGTGCTCGCTCCCTGTGAATACAGCGCGTTGGATTGAAGCATGGGCATGCTTACAGATAGCCGACATGGTGCCTTGCGCCACTGTGAAGTGCTCACATGTGCTGCATCACCGCACTGCACCTGTCGCTTGGCCCATCACCGCACTGCACCTGTCGTTTCCAATCCACTGCCCGCTTCCACACCCCCTCCTGCTCTTCACCTCATCGCTCCATCCTGCATGGATCATCTTCCTGCCCCCATGCTTGCACTGCATCCACGTGCCGTGTCTCGTCCCCCCCCCCCCTCCCACCCCCCACTTCCTCCCTCGTCCCCTCTACCTCCCCCCCCCCCCCCCCAACACATGCGCAGGCCGTGCCGGTCACCATGGAAGACACCCCCTGGTTCCCGCACTGGACCTTCCTCAATAGTTCCCTTCCCACCTCTCCCACACCCCCCGCATTTTCCCCCCCCATCCTCGCCCCTCTCCCTGCAGTTCGTAATAGACGAGGCCGCCCAGTACCCTGACTGGACGTTTCTCTTCACCAACAGCAGCCGCGTGCGAGACGCACAGGAGATGGCGGACCAGGTGCAGTTCAACCGCCAGCCCCACATGCCCTTCATCTTCGCCAACCTCGTTATAAGCTCGCAGGCGGATTACTTTGTGGGCGCGCACGCGTCCAACTGGAACCAGCTTATTAATGAGTTGAGACAGACGGGCGGGCGCTTGCATGCAGGGTATCTTGCGCTGAATGACGCATGGTAGGTAGGAGATGCACAGGGGCTTTTTCAGCACAAGCTGTATGTGTTGCCGGAATCTTTTTATTCTAGCTTGCAGCACATTAAAACCCGCAGCCTGAATTACAAAACAAGACTCGACGTTAAAGCTTTCGTATACATTTGACAGAAGGGGTTCAAAAACTTTTGAAATTTGAAAGTTTGCCTGTGAGACCGTGAGGTGACTTTCTAAACCCAAAACCTGGATGACAAATGTATACTTCAGCTTTAACGTCGGAAGGGTTGCGTAGATGTTCCATTCTTAGTTGACAAAAAAAAAATGCAGTTTTTTAAAAGCGTCAATTTTAGGCCTACCGTTCAAGGAATATTGCAAGCGTTTTTTTATGGTTCAATCTATTCTTTTCAACGTGGATGTTTATGATTCTTAACAATTGATGTTTCTAATACGTTAATATCTAGACACATTGATCGCTTTTTGTTTTATATAGTGAACAATGATGTTCTCTTTACTTTGTATTGTAACATTGCACTATTTTGTGTGGTTCATAGTGAGTTGTTTTCAGCCCACTCAGTGTCACGTGATTGTGCGTGTGTTTTCACGTGACAAACCCACCCACCTGTTGCTTCTCCCAACCACCCACCTCGTCATAGCCTCTACCTCCACCCCGCCATCCTTTCTTTCCCACCGCGCCGTCCTCTCTCCCTTCCACCCGCCGTCGCCTCTCCTTCCTACCCGCCGTCGCCTCTCCCTCCTCCTCGCCGTCGCCTCTCCCTCCTCCTCGCCGTCGCCTCTCCCTCCTCCCCTCCGTCGCCTCTCCCTCCTCCCCGCCGTCGCCTTTCCCTCCTCCCCGCCGTCGCGTATCCCTCCTCCCCGCCGTCGCGTATCCCTCCTCCCCGCCGTCGCCTCTCCCTCCTCCCCGCCGTCGCCTCTCCCTCCTCCCCGCCGTCGCGTTTCCCTCCTCCCCGCCGTCGCCTCTCCCTCCTCCCCGCCGTCGCGTTTCCCTCCTCCCCGCCGTCGCCTCTCCCTCCTCCCCGCCTTCGCCTCTCCCTCCTCCCCGCCGCCGCCTCTCCCTCCTCCCCGCCGCCGCCTCTCCCTCCTCCCCGCCGTCGCGTTTCCCTCCTCCCCGCCGCCGCCTCTCCCTCCTCCCCGCCGTCGCGTTTCCCTCCTCCCCGCCGTCGCCTCTCCCTCCTCCCCGCCGTCGCGTTTCCCTCCTCCCCGCCGTCGCCTCTCCCTCCTCCCCGCCTTCGCCTCTCCCTCCTCCCCGCCGCCGCCTCTCCCTCCTCCCCGCCGCCGCCTCTCCCTCCTCCCCGCCGTCGCGTTTCCCTCCTCCCCGCCGCCGCCTCTCCCTCCTCCCCGCCGTCGCGTTTCCCTCCTCCCCGCCGTCGCCTCTCCCTCCTCCCCGCCGTCGCCTCTCCCTCCTCCCCGCCGCCTCCTCTCCCTCCTCCCCGCCGCCGCCTCTCCCTCCTCCCCGCCGCCGCCTCTCCCTCCTCCCCGCCGTCGCCTCTCAAACCTCCTCGCCATCGCCTCTCCTTCCCTCCCCGCCGTCGCCTCTCCTTCCCTCCCCGCCGTCGCCTCCGGCGACAGGTGCACGAGCGCAAGCGAGACTTGGTGTGCGAGTGCAGGTTGGTGCGCGAGCGCGGGTTGGTGCGCCAGCGCGGGTTGTTTTCTGAGGCACCGTTGTTATCAGGTGCGTTCCCGGTCCATTCATCCTCCCTTCCCCCACTGAATTCTCCTCCCCCCCTCCCTCCCCTCTTTTTTGTTTTCTTTGCTCTCCTCGTAAAGTTTTTGTGTAGATTGGTCTCCTCTCGCATTGCACTTTCATTTGAAGAAGGGGAGAGACGGAGCGCGAGGGAGAGCGTGTACACGGGAGCGAACACGCAGGAAAGCGCGCGTGAGAGTGCGCGTGAGAGAGCGCACGAGAGAGCGCACGAGAGAGCGCACGAGAGAGCGCACGAGAGAGCGCACGAGAGAGCGCACGAGAGAGCGCACGAGAGAGCGCACGAGAGAGCGCACGAGAGAGCGCACGAGAGAGCGCACGCGAGAGCGCACGAGAGAGCACGTGAGGGAGCGCGTGAGAGAGCGCGTGCGAGTGAGAGTGCTCCTGAGAGTGCGCGTGATAGAGCGCGTGAGAGAGCTCATGCGCGTAAGGGAGCGCGTGCGCGTGAGAGAGCGCGTGCGCGTGAGAGTGCGCGTGCGCGTAAGAGAGCTCGTGAGAGTGCGCGTGAGAGAGCGCGTGAGAGTGCGGATGAGAGTGCGCGTGAGGGAGCGAATGAGAGTGCGAGTGAGAGTGCACGTGAGAGTGCACGTGAGAGTGCAAGTGAGAGTGCGCTTGAGTGAGTGCGTGAGAGAGAGCACGTGAGGGAGCACGTGGGAGAGCGCGTGGGAGAGCGCGTGAGAGAGCGCATGAGAGAGAGCGCGTGAGAGAGCGCATGAGAGAGAGCGCGTGAGAGAGAGCGCGTGAGAGAGCGAGTGAGACGCGTGAGAGAGTGCATGAGAGTGCGCGTGAGAGAGCGCGTGAGAGAGCGCGTGAGAGAGCAAGTGAGGGAGCGCGTGAGAGAGCGCGTGAGGGAGCGCGTGAGAGAGCGCGTGAGAGAGTGCGTGAGAGAGCGCGTGAGAGACGCGTGAGAGAGCGCGTGAGAGAGCGCGTAAAAGCGCGCGCGAGAGCGCACGTGAGAGAGGGCGTGAGAGAGGGCGTGAGAGAGCGCGTGAGAGTGCGTGAGAGAGCGTGTGAGAGAGAGCGTGAGAGAGTGCGTGAGAGCGCATGAGAGTTCGCGTGAGAGAGCGCGTGAGGGAGCGCGTGAGAGAGAGCATGAGAAAGAGCATGAGAGGGCGCGTGAGAGAGCGCGTGAGAGAACGCGTGACAGAGCGCGTGAGAGTGCGTGTGATAGAGCGCGTGAGAGAGCGCATGAGAGAGTGCGTGAGAGACGCGTGAAAGCGTGCGTGAAAGCGTGCGTGAGAGAGCGCGTGAGAGAGCGCGTGAGTGAGCGCGTGAGAGAACGCGTGAGAGAGCGCGTTAGAGAATGCGTGAGAGAGCACATGAGAGAGCGCGTGAGAGTGCGCGTGAGAGAGCGCGTGAGAGAGCGTGGAGAGAGCGCGTGAGAGAGCGCGTGAGAGACGCGTGAAAGCGTCCGTGAGAGCGCACGTGAGAGAGGGCGTGAGAGAGCACGTGAGAGAGCGCGTGAGAGAAAGTGTGAGAGAGCGCGTGAGGGAGTGCGTGAGAGCGTGTGAGAGCACGTGAGAGAGCCCTGAAAGAGCAGGTGAGAGAGCGCGTGAGAGAGTGTGAGAGAGCGCGTGAGAGAGTGCGTGAGAGTGCGTGAGAGAGTGCGTGAGAGAGTGCGTGAGAGAGTGCGTGAGAGAGTGCGTGAGAGAACGCACGAGAGAGCTTTATGAGCACGCTGGGGCATATGCACTAGCATCTATTCTGCTGGTGCTTGGGCAGCTGGGACTACTTATGCAAACGAGTGTCGCTTTCTGCACTAGTGTTTAGTGTGTCGGCTTCTAAGGTGTTTGCTTCTCTGTTTTTGCTGTGTGCGGGCCGTGTGTGTGTTTGCTTCTCTGTTTTGCTGTGTGCAGGCCGTGTGTGTGTTTGCTTCTCTGTTTTTGCTGTGTGCAGGCCGTGTGTGTGTTTGCTTCTCTGTTTTTGCTGTGTGCAGGCAGTGTGTGTGTTTGCTTCTCTGTTTTTGCTGTGTGCAGGCCGTGTGTGTGTTTGCTTCTCTGTTTTTGCTGTGTGCAGGCCGTGTGTGTGTTTGCTTCTCTGTTTTTGCTGTGTGCAGGCCGTGTGTGTGTTTGCTTCTCTGTTTTTTGCTGTGTACAGGCCGTGTGTGTGTGAACTTCTCTGTTTTCGCTTTGTGTAGGGCGCGTGAGCTGAGAAGGTAGATGAGGGAGGGAGTGGGAGGGAGATGAGGGAAGGAGGGACGGAGGGGTGTAGGGAGGGTTAAGGGAGATCAGGGAGGGAGGGAGGGAGGGGAATGGGGGGCAAGGTAGCGATGGTTTATTAATTGGTGAACTTCATTGGCTATGCTTGCATGCTAGCTGTATGTTTCTGCGTGTTTTTCTATCTGCGTATGTGTGTGCGTACATGTAGGCTATGTAGTTGTGTGGCTCTGTTTCGGGGTGAGTGCTAAGTGCCTCGTGTATACAATTGCGGTTGTGATCGTTGGTGGGGCAGCTTTGGTTGCCTCTTCCATACCAGATCAATCGCAGTTGCATTAACGATGCATTCTAGCATTAGCTTCGAAGCACTCACAACTGGTGTTTCTCGTTTTTGTACAAGTTCGTGTGCTGTCGTTTGGGTCTGTTTTTGTACACGTTCGTGTCCAACCAATTGTTCCATTCGCCGTACTTATCGACGACTATGGAATTATTGGTTACATTTGGTTTCACATTTTTGGGGCAACTAAAAAGTTGAACAGTATTTTTTTCCCAAACGGGCAGGGAAAAATCACTGTTCACGGTCAGTTCCCCAAAAAGTGAAACCAAATGTATAAGGTTGCTACGCAACCCAAAAAGTTGGAGGTGTTAACACCCCCCCCTCCCGAACCAGGGTGGTTACCAGGTCTCACCTCCAAAACGAGAGGAAAGTCGCAGGGTGCGTAGGGAAGGATCGTAGGGGTCTCACCACCACTCTTGGGGGAGGTGTGCACACCAAGCTCAAAATCTGTAATTCAGGTCGACAAAAAACACAGAGTTCAGGGCCAAACTTGGGCAAGTCATAGCTTAGAAGAGACGCAGCGCGCCGACTTCCACGTCAGTTTAGGGTTCCGCAACACGCTCTGGTATATCGCCTGCTCTCCGACGAGCTGAGTCGCCTTTGCTATCCGCACGCCTTACATCGCGGACTCACTGCACGGGAAGAGCAGGAACCATTTACGTGCACATGCCAATCGTCGACCGCGGTTTCACTTCCTTTTCGCCAGGCGCATCGATGTCGCGGTTGTTTCTAGCCGCGCCCGGCACTGTCCAGAGTAGAGCATTCCGCGTTACACAGACTTTGCGACATTCTTATCGTCGCCGTTGCGCGGGTTCATGCCCCTCCGTCGCCCACGCGACCCGTCGCCGTCGCACACTTCCCGCCACCGCCATAGCGCACTCCCCTCCCGACGCCTTCGCGTACTCCCCTCCCGACGCCTTCGCGCACTCCCCTCCCGACGCCTTCGCGCACACCCCTCAACAGAGTATGAGCACTCCCTCCCGTCCCTCACGCTTCTTACCCGACGTCCGATCACGCTCCCTCCCCTCCCTTCGCCTCCGCGCAACGCCTCTTACGCCCCTCCTCACTCATTGAGGTAGCCCACGCTCACCCTCTTCCCGTCGCCCAGCTCACTCCCCTCTATCCCGCACGATAAACTCCAATTCCGTCGCCCACCCGCACTTCCTTCGGTCGCCCATACGCACTCCCTTCCGTCGCCCATGCGCTCTCCCGTCCGAAGCCCATGCGCACTCCCTCCCGTCGCCTAACTGCACTCCCTTCCGTCGCCTATGCGCACTCCCTTCCGTCGCCCACACGCACTCCCTGCCGTCGCCCACACGCACTCCCTCCCGTCGCCCACACGCACTCCCTTCCGTCGCCCACACGCACTCCCTTTCGTCGCCCACACGCACTCCCTGCCGTCGCCCACACGCACTCCCTCCCGTCGCCCACACGCAACCCCTTCCGGAGCCCATGCGCACTCCCTTCCGCCGCCCATGCGCACTCCCTTCCGCCGCCCATGCGCACTCCCTTCCGCCGCCCATGCGCACTCCCTTCCGCCGCCCATGCGCACTCCCTTCCGCCGCCCATGCGCACTCCCTTCCGTCGCCTCCCCATCCCTCACAGCACGTTCCCCGTTTCCTCTCCCGATCGCCCTCTCCCTTATTTCCCTCCATAGCCTCGATCCTATTCTTCTCCCGCCCCCTCTCCCATGTTTCTCCCCTTCCCGCCCCCACACCCTCAGCCCAACAGGGACAACCGGAAGCGCGTGCTACAGCTGCTGCTGTGCTCGTGCTACAGGTGAGCCACAACACAACATGCTCTGCTGTGCGGTTGTGTGCTCTGTTCTGCTCTGCAGTGCTGTGCAGTGCGCTGTTCTATTCTGCTCTGCTGTGCAGAGCTACGCGAGATGAGGTGCTCTGCGACGCGACGCAGATCAGCCCTCCTTCCCCCCACCCTCAGCCCTCCTTCCCCCCACCCTCAGCCCTCCTTCCCCCCACCCTCAGCGCTCCTTCCCCCCACCCTCAGCCCTCCTTCCCCCCACCCTCTGCCCTCCTTCCCCCCACCCTCTGCCCCATACCGCATCACCCCATCCCAAGAGCACCCCATTCCGCCCCACCCCACCTCAAGGTCACCCCATTCCGCCGCACCTCCCTCTGTTCCTCCCATCCTCCATCCTCATTTCCTCCCTGCCACCCTTTCTCCTCCCCACCCTCCTCCCCAGCCTCTCTTCCTTCCCTCCCTTCTGCTTCTTCCCCAAACGTCCTCCATACCTCCCTTCCTCCCATCATCACTTCCTCCCTTCCTTCATTCCTGCAGTCCTCACTTCCTACCTCCGTTCCTCCCTTCCTCATTTGCCAGTTGTCATTCTTTTGCATGCTTGTTTCCCTTATACCGTACTTCAGCCACGTCACATCTGACTTCTTGGTTTGTGTTTGGACAGGTCTGCTATGCATCTGGTTGTGATGGGCTGGCTGTCTGATAGTAACACGACGTATAGCCATGCCATGTATTGGAACTTTTTTTTTATATAATACAGCATTATGAGCCTCAGCAGTCATACACACGACCAATACCAAGGAGTTCAACAAACAATATATCACCATATCTGTAAAGCAAGGGGAATCACTCAACACAAGAAAAGAACAAAGATAGGGGGTGTGCGTCTAATGTTGCTTCCCGGTTTTGTCTGCTACACTGCAAGCAATAAACCAGGCTGTGGTAAAGCCACATCTGGTGCTGGGCACCTGTAAGAGAGTGAGCAAGCATGCATGGGCATTAGAGGGTGGAAGGTGAGGAGTGAGGGGGAAGGGTAGGGCATGAAAAGGAAGGGAAGGGTTGTGAACGGCTGGGGGAGGGAAGGGAAAACGCAGGGATGGGGAGGGCACGTGGGAACAGGGCAGAGGGTGCAGGAGAGCGAGAGTGCGAGAGGACGGAGGGAGAGAGTGCAGGAGGAAGGAGAGTGGGGGAAGGAGGGTGGGAGGAAAAGGCAGGGATGGGGGTTCCTAGGTGGGAACAGGGCAGAGGGTGGGGGAAGGAGAGTGAGAGTTCGAGAGGATGGAGGAAGCAGGGAGGGGATGGGGGGAAGCAGGGAAGGGATGGGGGGAAGCAGGGAAGGGGATGGGGGGAAGCACGGAAGGGGACAGGGGGAAGCACGGAAGGGGATGGGGGGAAGCACGGAAGGGGATGGGGGGAAGCACGGAAGGGGATGGGGGGAAGCACGGAAGGGGATTGGGGGAAGCACGGAAGGGGATGGGGGGAAGCACGGAAGGGGATGGGGGGAAGCACGGAAGGGGATTGGGGGAAGCACGGAAGGGGATGAGGGGAAGCACGGAAGGGGACAGGGGGAAGCACGGAAGGGGATGGGGGGAAGCACGGAAGGGGATGGGGGGAAGCTCGGAAGGGGATGGGGGGAAGCACGGAAGGGGATGGGGGGAAGCACGGAAGGGGATGAGGGGAAGCACGGAAGGGGATGAGGGGAAGCACGGAAGGGGATTGGGGGAAGCACGGAAGGGGATGGGGGGAAGCACGGAAGGGGATGAGGGGAAGCACGGAAGGGGATGCGGGGAAGCACGGAAGGGGATGAGGGGAAGCACGGAAGGGGATGGGGGGAAGCAGGGAAGGGGATGGGGGGAAGCACGGAAGGGGACGGGGGGAAGCACGGAAGGGGATGAGGGGAAGCACGGAAGGGGATTGGGGGAAGCACGGAAGGGGATGAGGGGAAGCACGGAAGGGGATGGGGGGAAGCACGGAAGGGGATGGGGGGAAGCACGGAAGGGGATGGGGGGAAGCACGGAAGGGGATTGGGGGAAGCACGGAAGGGGATGGGGGGAAGCACGGAAGGGGATGGGGGGAAGCACGGAAGGGGATGGGGGGAAGCAGGGAAGGGGATGGGGGGAAGCACGGAAGGGGATGGGGGGAAGCAGGGAAGGGGATGGGGGGGAAGCACGGAAGGGGATGGGGGGAAGCACGGAAGGGGATGGGGGAAGCACGGAAGGGGATGGGGGGAAGCAGGGAAGAGGACGTGGGGAGCGAGGGAGATGCCGGGGAGAGAGCTGGGGGGAGGACGGTGGGGAGCAGGGCGATTGATGGGGGGAAAAGGGAGAGATGTATGCAGTGTGGGGGTGAAAGGCGATTATTCGGGAATGGGAAGGGTGCATGTGCAGGTGGGAAAGGGGGCGTGACAAGTGTGCGAGATGAGAAGGGAGAAGGGAGGGATGGCGAGGACAACGAGGAGTGGATGGGAGGGCGACGGGGAAAGAGAGGGCGACGGGGGGAGAGAGAGACGGGGATTGCGAGGGGACGAGCGGGAAGGAGGGCGACGAGCGACAGAGAGGCGACGAGAGGAAGGGGGGAACCGGGGGGAAGGGAGCGCGACGAGGGAAAAGACGGGCGGCGGGCGGAAGGGAAGGCAACGGGAGGACGGGAGGGCGACGAGACGAAGGGAGGGCGACGGGCGGAAGGGAGCGCGACGAGGGGAAGGAAGGACGGTGGGCGGAAGGGAGGGCGACGGGCAGAAGGGCGGGTGACGGGCGGATGCGAGGGCGGCGGGCGGGGAAGCGGCGAGGGGGACAGGCGAGGCGAGGGTGGTAGGCGGGGAAAGCGAGAGCGATGGGCGAGGGAAGCGAGGTCGACGGGCGGCTAGGCGGCGAGGGCGACGGGCGGTGGGCGGGCAGGGCAAGGGCGATGGGCGAGGGTCAGCACAGGGGGGCAAAGCGCGAATTTCTCGTCTCCTCACGCCTATTTGCTCCGTGCTTCGACAGCGTGGCCACGCTGCACCTAGGGATTCCGGTTGTCTGAAATGTGTTCGCAATAAAACCCTAATGTTAGAATGTTCGCGCAATGTAGCTACTGAATTTGTGTGCTGCCGCTTGGAGGACACTAAGATTCGATACTTTCGTGTCTAAGTTAGTAGCTAGTAATGGTGTGCTGGTTTTTTGTCGACGGAGGTTCTGTAGGTCACATCCCTTCCTCATTGTATTGGTTTCCGTCGCCCAGATTCTATGTTGCGACACTTGTGTGTTCGCAAATTGGCTTCGCCACCCCAAAAGTGTCACCCAACCACCCGGCTCTCTCCCCAACCTCTTCCCAAACCAAGCGTTGACTCGTTTTTGTAATTCGCCCCTTTTTTATTGCAGGTGATGAAAACATCAAGCAATGTATTCCCTTGTACCACAGACTTTATGCTGAATGTGGCACGAAAGAGAGGTTCCAATTTTAAACTTTCACATGTCTCGCCTGAATGCAGGTTACTGAGGTTCTTTTACGCTGTACAACTGTTCGAGTGCAATCGAGTGAGCGAAAGAAGATTGCACTATCGAAGCAAGACAATCGAATGAGCACATGCATGAGCGAATTGTTAAAAAGCGAAGGCATTTCGGCAAAGGTAACGCGCACTCGCGATAAGGTGCCCCTCTGGCCTGATGCCGAGGTTGGGAAATGTCGAAGCGTAGGGCCAGATAGCAAGTTACCAGCCGATCCGAGTGGTTTGGGCACGATGGTCATGTTCGCAGGAACAGTTTCAAGGCGAGTGTCGCGATGTGGTAACATGCTACTGTTGCGTGTACAGTGGCAGAAACAGTCGTGTACGCAATATGTAGTGTGACGCGAAGTAAGGAAAAGTTGTTTCCTTACACTACCCCCCTCCCCAAGGGAGGCCCCTTATGAAACGGAAGTTTTGGCTGCGTAGGTACTCGGTGAGGACGGGGTGGTCTGAGGAGAGCTCCAAAGGCACAACCGAGGGGAGAGGGGTGATGTGCGACACACCCGAGGGAGCAGGACGGGGGGGGGGGGGGGGGGTGGGGGAGGTCTACTTGGGGGGAGACTGGGTACCAGGAAGAGAGGCGGGGGGGGGGGCACGGGTCTGCGGTGGGAGTAGAGACGGTAGTAGCAGACCGACTCGTTAAAGGTGACGTCACGGGAGGAAAGGACGCGACGGGTGGCTGGGTGGTAAAACTGCCAGTCAGGGGCGTCGGTGGGAAGGCCAAGGAAGACGCACCGAATAGTGCGGGGATAGAGCTTGTCCGCGATGGGATCGCGGACAAGGGCAAGCGAGCCCCACACCCGAAATGGCGACGCATCGCCCACCTCCCCCGTCCAAAGGAAGGTAGGCGAGACTTCTGGCTGTGGAACACGGGGCCAGAGGTTGAGCTGATGCGCGGCGTATCGGACCGCAAATGGCCACAGGAAATGGGGAGCAACCGCATGGATCCTGGAGATGTAGGCAACCTCCATGAGTAGGCCAATGCAGTTCTGCTGTGGAGAGGCCGGAAGCATGAACAACTGGGTGATACCCTCCTCACGACAAAAGTCCTCAAGGAGACAGGAGGAAAACTCACCTCCACGGTCAGAGTGCAGACGAAGCACCGGGAGGTCGTGCTGGAGACGAGATCTCTGTTGGAGACAAACAGCGCGGATCCAAGGGATTAAAACACCACGAAGGTCGCCCTGATGCTGTAAGGGAAACACCGTGGTGTAACGCGTGAAGTCGTCGAAAACCAGCAGAAAGTAGCGCTCCCGGCGCGGCCCATGGACGGGGGCGGGGCCCCAACGTTCATGAGCAACGTCTGCAGAGGAGCAGTGGTCGGGGGAAACGAGGAGGAGTGAGGAGCAGCGGGCTGGCGCTCCTCGACGCAGAAAGTGCAGGGCGGCACAAGTGACGCCGGGAGCGGGGGCAGAGTCTGCGGGAGGCTAGAGACAAGGCGACGCGAGTGCATGCTACGGAGGCGCGAAAGAGAGGGGTGACCAAGACGGTGGTGCACATGAGAGACTGGTGCGTGAGTAACTGACATGAGCAAGACGCCGCTACCTGACCTGACCTGAGCAGACTCAGTGTGCAGTGTGTACAGTCCAGGCCCAGGCCTCCGTGTGAATGTGGCAAGGTGGTCTCCAGTGTCTGTGTCCGTACAGATTGCCACGCGCTCGTTCCCAGGAATCGTGGAGGCGATTGGTACTCACCAAGTTTGTAGCGAAGGAGGGGAGGTGGAGACATGTGAGGGAGCCAGAGGGGACTGTCGGACACGAGAGAGTAGTGGAGCTGCGCGCAATGACCGGTCCAGAGGTGGGGTCGGCCAGAGTGACAGGGACAGGTGCTGGGAGCTGTGTGACGGTGGTGCAGTCGCGGAAGAAGCACCAGTTCGCGCCGGAGTCCAGTGTGAACGAGAGCAACGCCTCCGCAGGAACTGCACATGTGCTAGCAGTCTCACAAGCACCTACACTAGCATCCTCTACACAAACTGGCCTAGGTACACAAGAATAATAGTCACCCTCAGCACTAGCACCACCAGCATACATGGCATACATGCCTACAGAGATCTTGTCCCAATCAAGCGAAACGATATCAACGCCCCTCCTGAGCAATCCTAACCAGTCAGGGACCATGGCTTGCTCACCGAACTCGCCACGGAAGGCGTCCTCGAGGCAACAGAAAAAGCAAGCCTCACCGTGCTCCTACTTGGCGCAAGCGTCGCCGGCCCGAGGGCC